CCCCCCCCCCCCCCCCCCCGTGGCCGCCTAAAACCAGGGCTGCTTGCAAGCTGAAACAGTGTAGTCTATCTTAGAGGTAAAGGGAAAGATACATTGCATAGCCCCCGCAAGGCTGTTGTCACATTTACTGCACACGGGCCACTGCAGCGCATGGCTTGAGACTGACATGAATCGACATGTAAAGCAAGCGAGCTGGGCACACCAATCTCGCATGAAGATGCAGTCGAGGGAGGAATTGATCAAGCAAAAAATTGCCGGTCTACAAACACGAGCATTGCACTCCCGTGAAAACGACTGCGGAGCCTACAGCCACATTAGAGTAGAGAGCAACAGCTTCGAGCGGTGGGAGGCGGTTGCCGTCGAGTTCAGGGCTGGAAAGAGGATTGGCAGGCGATTACTGGCCCCTGTGTCTGCGGCTCTGTTTGAGGACAGCTATGGACCCATCTACGACTCCAACAGTTGCATGTTACAACTAATCTAAATAATTCAAATATGGAGGAGGCCTCCGGAATTAAATCATCTAATTCTCCTCCTGCGACCCCCTACAGGTGTAGAACCTAAAGCAAACTAAAACAGTATGTATTTGCCGCCTAGGTTGTGGTTTTGAGTTACAATACACAGTTTCAGCTGGCAAATAGACCGGGTTTTAGTTGCACACACACACACAAAACAAAAAAAAAAAACACTGCTCTCAAACCTCTCTTCTCTGCTTTACCTTCGGGTCGCAGACCCGAAAAGAGGCTCAGAGACAAGGCAAGACGTGTGCCAGCCTAGAGAAACGCAGATCCCTAGCCAAGGCAACTGCTCGAGGATCATCTCGCAAAACTGCGGGACGAGACCTCCAAGAGCCAATCCAACTCACACCCAACCGCACAGAGAGCGACCCTCTCCCCTATCAGGCTTTGAGGCCCAGGCTCATGATGCCCAGCGACAACAGCCACTCCTGGGCCCAGCGGATAAAGGACACAGGTTGCTCTCCATGCGCTACCACCACGGCTGTGGTGACGCTGGCGTACGGTGGCTCTAGGTGCCAAACACGCGATCCATGTTCATGGCTCCAGAATATCAAAAGCGTGTCCCATCGTGCACGTATTCGACAAACATATGGGCAGGATCCTGCGAAGCGACATTGGTCTGCTTCAGAACATGCGGGCAGCAGTAGCTTGCGAACATCTGGGTTATACTCCGCACTTGGCAAGCAAGCATATATATATATATACACAACACAACGGTGACTCACGACTACTATTCTTACTCGTCTGGCCGTGGCTTCAAGCAATGGACAGCACTGCGAATCTGCATCCCTTCAAGTCATCTGCGCATCATCATGACAGTGAGGTATGAACATGCTGTAAGAGTGAACAGGGGGCCCGCCCGGGGCTTGCACAAAGCTTCGTTTTCCATCTACTTTGCACATTGACTGTTCTGAGCATGACATCAGCAAAGAGGAACAAGCCCGAAGCCCGGGTACCCGCCGAAGTTGAAAATACAAAACACGCAGGGAATCAACACAACCCAACTCTTGCAAAACTGTCGTTGTGCGAGGCATCCGGCGGAAGAGCAAGCAGCTGTCACACAAAAAAGCGACGCAATCTGCAGCTAGGCAAGTTTGAGTTTGAGGGGTGAGCACAGCGAATTTCGGAGAAAAATGTCTACAAAGAGACAACTGAGTACGTCAAGCGCAGCAATCGACACACGAAGAGAATCCGGACTAGAGCTACCAGCACGCCAGGACTGCAGGTCAAGCGTTGTGCATTTCAAGCGGGGAAGCTGGGAAGTGAGGGTTCGGATTGACGACATAGTTCAATCAAAGATCACAGACGGCTCCTTGTGCCGGAATTCTAAGGCCACGGCCCCATTGAAGGAGGAGCCCAAAGCTGAGAGCTTCGTCAAGTCGATGTTGGCCTTCAGGATTCCAGAGTTCTGTCTGCGAAGTGAACCTAGGGTGTAAAGGGTAGAGTTTAGGGCGTTTAGGGCTGTTGGATCAAACGGCTTGGATGATGTAGGACGAGTAGAGGATGCTCAGAAGAGCACCAGGCAGCATGCAGGGACTTCAGCTTAGTTTGGGCTGGTGTCGAAAGTGTCCACGCATATGAAAGCATGGACAGCACTGCACATAAACGAAATCAGCGGAAGTTGGTATCCGAGTACATGCATCCAGCACGATGTCCCCATGCTGAGGCGAGCACTAGTGTGAAAACGATGAATAGTGTGACCTCGTGATGGCATCAGTCACACTGCCGGCAGGCTGTGACCACATAATGGGTCAGGCTTCCCAGCCCAAGCACGTAACTCGAAACCAAAAGGTGGGCGTGGCTGTGGAAAACAGAGCGCCGCACGTATAGTGTGATGGAGAAATCGATCAAGAGATTGCTAACCTGATGCGAGGAAGGACGGGGGATGAAGAGGTCTGTGTTAAGCAACTCTCATGTATGATAGGAAACTCGCATCATCTCACTCCGGGATTCGGGATTGAACTCCATGGGAGCATGTTCCCGCAAAACTTCCTCCACATTGCTTGAAGAAATTTTCCATGGAGATCAGATCTCGATCTGCTTCAGCAGGTGCTTTCAGCCTCCACCAGCCCTGCACTTGGAATACCGTCTTAACTCCCGGTTTGTCTGGCACTGAAGTCCGTCTTCGAAACATGCGTCTGAAAATTGAGCATCACCCGACAAGCCACGTAAAAAAACAAAGAACTGCAGCCCACACAGACAAGCAATTCTGAAATCAAGAAGTCTCGTATGATGTGGCGGAAGCACAAACCCCCAAATGCCAAAACCTTGCATGCAAGGCAAGGCAACGAGGCGTTCCCCTGACAGAATGGACTTGCTGCCAAGGCACGTAGAATGCTACGGAGGTGAAGTAGAACGATAAAGAATGAAGAACACCAATCCTGCAACAGAGCTTCTGGCAACATCATGTGTGCATCTAAGCCCCAACTTCAAGCATCCCCAGCTCAGCTGAAGACGACTGCCAACAAAACATTCGCCTTGAAGCTCTTTTCACAATGACTCATTGATGCCGTGCGTTCATGCAGGTGGAGCCACACCTCCCTTGCAGCTTCAAAGCCGAACAAGTCTCTCATGGGTTCAGCAAGGCCGGCCTTTCGCATAGCAGGTGGTTGTCTCGAGAACGAATTATGCCCACGCTTCCCGCGGAAATCTTCGAGAAGAAGAGCGACCTTGTACATCCATTGCTTTGGAACTCTTGCTGCAGAAGGGGGCTGGCAATGCATTGTGTCTTACATGGCTTCGTTTGTCTGAAGTTGGCTACTGAAATTCTGCCGCCGAATCGGAGGGCTGAACAAATTGGGAGCTGTGGTGCAGTGTCGTTGATTCAACAGTCAGACATTGACAGCTCTTGACTTCTTGTGTACCAGGCAGTGTCTCCGTCTAAACTTGGCTTTGTTGGTTGACGGATCAGGCAGCATGCAAGATGTTTCAATGCGCTCTTACCACAAGGATTGTGGCCATTGCCTGAGGTGTAGTTTTCCTCCGAGCGCCGGGCGCAGCGTTGAAAGCGGCCTTTACGCTTTACACTTTCTGAGGGGAGATGAAGAGTCAGATCATGACTGCAGCTACTCCCACCGGGCCCGAGTGACAACGCCGGCGTATGATCCCTGAGTTCTCATATCTTACTTACATAGTCAATGCACTTGAAGCAGGAATCGAAGTGACCGAAGCACTGATCCACCTCGCGCCCCTTCTCGAACTCCAACACGTCCACGTGCGGCGACGCTTCGGCGCGCATGTGGAGGTTGTAACCTTCAAATCACTGGCGAGTTGTTGGCCACGACAGACATCACGAGCTACGTCCAAAGCTCTCACCTTCCACATTGGCTTCATCCTTCAGAGGGGCCCGGCCTGCAAAAATGTCCTCGCTGAGGTTTACAACGGCAGAGCCTTTACCTGGCAGAAGCACTGCTTTCAGAAGACTGCTTACGAGCAGTCCTCTTTGTTAACCCTTGCCCTCCAAGCGCGACGGCTGGGCTCATTCCACCTCGATTTCGCGCCCAAAAGGCGCAAACAAAATCTGGATGACCGTAGTGCATTCGGATGCCCATGCCTCACACAGGTTTGCAGTCGTCAAAGGTCGCATCTTAATGCCTCCACTTCTTGGCGAAATTAACCGGAACTGAATCACCTTACAGCTAGGACCTCCAGGCACGTACGCACAATCGGTCCAACCGTACCCAAACAATGGTGCAAGCTGCGTTTTGCCGTCGCTGGTGGTCTGTGCGTTCTGACTCCGTGTCGCTGATCGGCACCATAAGGTATGTGAGTGAGTTGGCTTCTGCTGTCTGGAGGTGCACAATGACTGAAATTCAACACTGAAGTTTCGTCTCACGTATGTTTTCAGCGACTGCAAGATTACATGTGCTAACCTTTGCGGTGCGAGCAAGACACAGGGTGCAAAACCAGTTTGCTGCCAATACCCTGTCTCGCCAAGCCACCGCTCAGAAATCGCTGGTAGATGGTACCAAAGGTCCACTCCGCGGCTGCATGGCATTTGCCCACCTTCGGTCAGAGCATTATCTGTGAAAGCCGATCTTGAACAGATTCGAACAGATGAATGGACTTAACCGCCTCCAACTGTTCTAGCCGAAGATCGATGCAGCGAGACATCTAGGTCCCCAGCTGTCCCCTCTCGGCCGGTGTAGATATACTCCCGGAATCCCAAGTAGCGACAGCGAGAGGCCACACCTTACTTCCGAGCTTCTTGCACCGATGAGGGCAGAACAGTGGGGTGAAACGGGGGTCTAGGTTCAAGATATGCCTCCTTCCCTCTGTTCTAGATATCCCCATTTCGATACTCGAAGCTAGCCGAACAGAGTCAAGCACAGACTGGGGCGTGCACGGTTTTTCTGGCCCAGGGGCAGAAACCGCCGAAGCACATAAGGAATCTGGCACATCGGTCAAAAGTGTGAGTTGGGGGACGACCCAACGCCGAATCCTCAAAGTTCCGTCAGAACAGCGGGTCACCTTTGCTGTCTTTTTAGAAGCTCCCTGCAACTCCGAAGCCTTGAAAGCCTCGCCGATGAAGGCGCCCATGTTGCAGTCCAGGGCCTGGAGAGCCGGGGAGAGGAATTCGGAGGGTGGGAACCCCACTTGAAGGCTATGGCAACAGCTGAGATTTCTAAAATTTCGCTGCTTTCTGGGGGAACCACGAAGCCCTGTGGGCGGATCGACACACCCAGAATGATTCGGGGCCTGAATGCGGTGACCCGCCGCAAACCAGAGAGCGTTCATCTGGTTGCAGGCCTTGCAGAACAACAGAGCGTCGAGGTCAGGCTTGATTGAAACTCGGTAGAGCCCTCCAATCCCGAGCAGTTCAGAAGAGCTCAGCACCAAATCTCACATGTGCTCGACCTCAGGCGTTGTCTTTCTTGCCTGCTTCTCCTCTCGACTCCCGGTCGAAAAAACACAGCCGTGGAGATCTTAGCCTATGCTGGAGGCATTTCTGTGCTTCAAGGGCAGGACCTGAACACCTAAGATGGGAGCAGTGCATTGTTGCGGGCCAGGCAGACGCTGATGCCTTGGAAGCCCTCCTCTTCAGGCTCGAGAGCGCTCGGAGCTGACCACGCAGGATTGGCCATTCCAGTCGCTGGGCAGGCTTCTTTGGTTCGCAGATGCCTCGCCGAAGATCTATGCGCTCTCCGTCTCATGCTTCTGAAGCGGAGACGCTGCCTCAACTACAAGCCTAGTTTCGGTCCACATCGCGGCTGGACTTCTACGAAGCTTTAGTCTTGAGGCCTCGTGTGTTGGGATTGAGATGGTTTCGCCTCGGCTGCGATTGGTCCTCGTTGAACTGATTGGATTGGGAGCATGGCGAGATGTGCGCACCGTCCGACAAGGCGTCCGTCGGCCCCTGTCCACGAGTTCGCGGGGTCTGAGCCTGCGGTGGCCCACTGCGTCAGGCCACCAGCGAATCAACTTCTGACTCTGGGGCACCAATGGCTTCAGCCTCGAGCTTGTCGGGCGAGGTTTTGGCCTTGGCATCGCCAAAGAAGCGGTACTCACCAAAGTGCTCGAAGAGCCAGGGCTCAAGTATGGCCACGAGCCCCAGCAGTGAGGCCTGGAAGCACCAGAAGGAGCCCCACTCCCTTCCCAAGACCAAAACTAGCATCGCTGCATTCAACCCGACGCATGCCAAGACAGGCAGCACATAAGAAGGACGGTAGGACATGAAGCCACCTATACTGGCACCGAAATACAGCATGAGGTTCGCAGAAGACAGAGCTCGGCCCAGAAGACTTCCCATTAAGCCTGGAAGGAAATTGTACTGGATATTCATCACCGGCCATATCTGGTGGTGCCAGGGTCCGGCATAAGTGCAGATCGACGTCATCCAACCAAATGCCCGGCCAACGACTTGCACCAGCACGCCACTCACCCCGCACAGGAGAGCAAAGCACAAAAAGGCCCTCGCCGACTGCCGAAGCTCTGGAGTGACATCCACAGGGCACAGCAGTGGCTGAGTGCACAGCCATGCAGGCACTGCGCACACCAAACAGGCGATCGCGATTGAGACGGTCTGGTTCGTCTCATCACACTCCGTAGAAGAGGAGCCTATGTGTGCCCACAACACAACCTGCAGCCATTCCTGCAGAACTAGCGGGAGAATCAGAGATGCATTGGGCCGGTCGTACCGCAACCCACGACAGCACAGCCCAAGGAGACACAAAGTTTCCAGCGAAGCTGCTGCCAAGGTGACTTCGAAGGTCCAGCACATGGCAGCAACATGCAGGCATCAGCTACAGCACTGCTCGAACATGCTTGACCACACCACTCTGACTGAGGACCTTGGTGTTCTGTGGGACTCCAGACTCGGAGAGGTTTGAGGCCATGTCCGAATTCAAAACCCGCCATGATGTTTTTGAAGAAAGGCTCGACACAATGCCGGCCTTGCCCTGCGTCTTGTAGTTCCCTTCGCCTGCGCCAGTCGCGCAGCAGCTTGGGCGACGTTTGTCCCAAGACTTCGCAGATGTCTGCAACGTCAGTGCTTCAGTCAGCTACCTGTATCCTAAAACTAATTATTCTCCCTCGAACGACGGGCCTATTCGCAGGGGAAACATCCGTGGCAGCACCTGGGCTATGCATTCGACACCAAACAGTCAGCTTCCGTCTCAAAAACTGCTGCAGGATCGGCTAGCACATCGTTCGCTTCGTGGTCCTTGTCGCGCAGACGAGTATTCTCAAACTAATTGCAGACGAGGGGCTTCCACGACTGTGAGACCCATTTCCTTGTCCCACCTACACCGGGCCGCACGACATGCAGTCCTCCTGTGGATGCTGTGTTTGCGTGTCGTCTACTTCTACACATACGTCTACTTCTACTTCTTCGAACACCACCACTACCACCGCCACTACTACTACTAGTCGTCCTGCTGCTGCTGCTGCTGCTACCTCCTACTACTGCTACTGCTGCTGCTGCTACTACTACTACTACTACGACGACGACGACGACTGCTGCTGCTGCTACAACTACCACCACCACCACCACCACTACCACTACCACTACTACTACCACTACCACTACAACTACCAC